GGCGGCGGGGGCGGCGCGGACGGGTCCCAGCGGTTTCTGCCCGAATGGTTCCCCGGAAATCGAGGTCACCTTGGTCATTATATCGTCGGGCCTGGGAGCAAAGGTCCAGAAGCCGGCGGGTTCTTCCCGGTTTCAACTAGAATTAGGAGCGTGCGCGCGGCGAGGCCCGCACAGGCCGGAGGCAAGGTCACGATCCGGGCCCGCAGCCCGCGCGCTCGCTCGCTCGGCTCCGGGGCCAGGTGGGGACGGGCGGCCTTCCCCGGTACTGGTTCCGATCCGACCACACCTGGGCCCCGCGAGGCCACACCGAGGCGCTTTCTTCCTAGATGTGAACCCCTGGTTTAATTTAAGGGCTTGAAGCAGGCCGTGAGGAAGAGGGAGAAATCCCACGGTGTCTGTCAGCATCCGGGTGTTTTTCCCTCTCCCCCTCCCCCGCCCACCTGCCGGGGTTTTCTCCCCTCTGGGCTGCGCAGCTGTATGGGAAAGCAGGTGTTTAAGGCGGCAGAGGGAACAGCAGCTGTTGGATTTCGGAGATGTGAGGGGTCGGAGGGTGCTTAAGGGCTGTGCTTTTATCCTTCGCGTGGAGACACTAGGATACGTATGTGTACTTCTTTTAAAATAGTAATTATCTGGTATTTTCTTCTTGACCCGCAGGTACTCTTTGGGATTCGTCTTCTATCCTTGCCTAACTTTCATGGTCTTGTAGCTACTAGAAAGAACCTGGGCATTAGCCTAGCGGTAGAAACTCGTTTTTCTGTAATGGTTAGGACAGTGGGACACCAGGTATTACACACAAAAGGATTTTCTGCTGAAGTGAGAACTAACCGTTTACCAGTAGGTGACCCCTGGACTGTGGGTGACAGGTGTACAATTTTCTCTCTGTTCTGTTGATACTAGTCTCCATCTTTAATATTCTTTAAAAATGACAGCTAATTTAGTAGACATCTTACCACATAATCTGGCAGCATTCTCATTCTTCGTGTATGGCGTGTATATGTTCACACAGTCGCCACACCAGTGTTAACCCATTCTATGGATAAAGAATCTGAATTACAGAAAGGTGAAGTAACTTCCTGCAAGTGTGACCTGGCTGGCCTGTGACAGTGCTGGGATTCCAACCCTGGCTGTCACGCGGTAGAGCTTTGAGAGCCTCTGATCTCTAGGCCATATCATTTTTGGATTTATACTTTTATTAGCCAAAATGAATAACATACAGTACATGTTACATTGCTGAGTACCGGAGATAAACTGTCTCCCTACCCTCAAGAGATCAGATAGCCTGGTACCAGCAAGGCAACTTAAACAGAATTACCTTTTATTCAGAATTCAACAAGGGCAGGCTCTGTTCTCGTAGCTTTGCATAAATCATGAAATCCAGTGTGTACCTGTTCCCAAATTAAAATGCCCATATATTTCTTTAAAAGAGAACCTTTCCCATTGCAATCATTTACTTGAAGGGGCCCCGTATATTTTTACTAATCCTCCTGTTTTCCTGTTCATAGTCGGTATTAAATGTTTTACTTCTACTTTAATTTATAAACCATGAAAACTATCACTCAGATCTCTGGCTCTTTCAGTTATGTTTTAATTAGTGCCTAGTGCCGAGCCTCCTACAGTGACCCTAAGTGAAGGGCTTGGAAGGGCTCTGCTGAGTACAGAGGTGTTTTTACTTTTGGATTTGAACCTAGGTCCTCCAACATGGGAAGCATTGCACGTTTACCCCTGAGCTACACTCTTACCCCTATAGCTGTGTCTTTAATTCTGTGCTGTATGAGGAGTTCTTGTGTCTTTAGGCTGAATCCTCAGTCTTCCTGTGCAAGGTGTCTTGTTTACAGGAGAGGGGAAAGGGTTTCTCAGGCCCCACACTCAGAGCGCTCAGATAACTTGAACTTAGTCCCCTCCGTAGTAGGTGTGCAGGTAGCATGGGAGAAAAGAGTATCATTGCATCCTGAAATAATAGCTACGGGGATTGACAGGCCCCCCTAACGGCAGGAAACTGTTAGGAAGACAGTGTCTCTTTTTGTTGTCCTTCTTTGTGATGGTCTTGCTGTGTAATCTAGGTTGACCCTGAACTCACTGTTGCCCAGGCTGGTCTCAAACTCAGTGGTCTCAGCCTCCGAGTGCTGGAATCAGAGGTGCACACCAGCATGCTGGCCCGGATTTATTTGTCTATTTTTTTAAAAATGTAAATATCCCTGCTGAGTGTTAGCCACATTTCACAGAGGAAAACAGACCCAAAGCATCTTATTCAGGGTTCACTGTGAGGAGTACAGTTAGGTTTCCTAGAAACCTTCACCTTTTTTGGTCAACCAGGGCCTTAAAAAAAACCAGTCTTCTTCTCCTGTTCTTCCCCAGAACCTTCCTGGCTGACCCCTTCTGTCTGTTATGTTGCCCTCCTCCTCCTCCTGGTTTTCTTCTCTCTTTCACCACCAGAGAGAGGTCTTGTGCCTGCTGGGCAGTGCCAGGCCCTCTGTTCCCTTTGAGTTTTAAAAGAACAGTGCAGTCTCCTGTCCATCCTCCTGTGCCGGCCTTACTGGGCTCCCTCAGAAACTCTACCTTTTCTATCTACACCCGTTTGTATTCTGACTTTTAAAATGCTTTGTTGCTGCACTTTGAACCCACAGCCTCATGCATGCTAACCATGACCAAAGCCCTGAATATTTGTTAAAAGCTTCCAGTCTCCCCTCAAATTAATTTTGTTTACAGAATTCTTTATAATTTGCAAAGCATTTGACATAAAATATTATGTATTAGTTAAGTTCACATAATATCAATATCACAAATTATAAAAGGTGTGTTGGAAAATTCTTTCACTGGGAAGATACTCATTGGAACCCGAAGCTCAGCGGTAAAGTGAACTGTTGGAGATCACACAGCTACTAGGGATACTTATCCATTGTTTCTGCTTCTTCATTTAATTTTTTGATACTTCCCATTCCTTATATCTAAAAGAATAATATATGTATATATGTGTGTGTGTATGTGTCTTCATTTTTTGTTTATTACAGAAATACATGAGCTTTATAAAACTTGAAGTATTTATTGTGCGCTTTAAATTCTAATATTATCAACACTGACAAATGGTTAATATATGGCCCTCATACTACAATCTCATTATTATAAAAACTTTTCATGCATTTTCACTTAATAGTATCTTGAATACTTTTGTAGGCATTCTTGAAAATTTTGACAAAATAGACTTCATGCCTGTGATGTTTTACTTAGCTTTCCAGTCGTGTAACAAATTCTGAAGAAAATCAGTTTATGAAGAGGTTTCTTTTGGCCCAGGGTTTCAGTGGTTTCATTCCACAGCGAGTTGGCTGCACTGTTCGCGTGTTTGACAGAAGAGTATGTCATGGTGGAGCAGAACTACTCACCTCATGTGGCAATGAAAGAGAGCAGGAGACAGGCTCCCACAGTCTCCTTCAGGGATACGGCCCCTGTGACCTAAAGCCTTACCTCTTCAGATTTCCACCATGTCTCAGTGCCACCTAGCTGGGGACCAGTCATTTAACACGTGGGCCTTTTTGGCTTTTGTTTTCCTAAGACAGGATCTCTCCATGAAGTTTGGGCTGGCCTTAAACTCACAGTAGCCCTGCCTCAGCCTCCCAAGTTCTGGGATTACAAGTGTGTGCCACCAGCCCTGGCTATAAGTGGCATTTTAAAGACAGAATAAAACTAATAGGTGATAGAACCATCTGAGAAAATCCGGAAAGTCTTGATATTCTAACTAAATACTAGAAAGAAAATGTGCTGTAGCACGCCTCAGTAGTTTGTAACTACGTAAAATCAAGAGGGAGGTGTGATGTGAGGGGTTGAGAAGTTGTATCAGGCCCAGTCACTTCCTGTGGAGTGGCGGTAAGGTGTGAAAGGAAAACAGTGCCGGTCTCTACTTTTGATCTCTGTTCTCCTGCTTTCTTCCCAGGTCATTGTGGAGAAGGCGCCGAAGGCCAGGGTGCCTGATCTGGACAAGAGGAAGTACCTAGTGCCCTCGGACCTCACTGGTAATGTTCTTTCCCAAGCAGGGACTTCGTTTCCCAGACATACCATTCTCAGTCCTTGTAAAGTGCCTGAGAGTAACATGGGGTGTTTGCCAGAGGCAGCAGGACGAAGTGACTCAACTTTCATCAGTGGGTCCCTGCACCAATTTCCACCACTGTGGAAAGCAAAAGATGTTTAAGATGAGACATTTGTGTTTAAAACACTTTTAAAATTGAGTCTTGTTCCTGTGGGAGTAATTTGTTTGAAAACAAAAACTAGTCCTGTCTTGGGAGGATCACATTTTAGAGATTCTTGACTAAATGTTTATCTTTTTTTTTTTTTTTTCTCTTTTGAAGGGATTTTGCTATGCAGTTCAGGCTCCTTGGACTCACCTTGTAGTCCAGGCTGGCCTCAAACTCACAGCGGTCCTCCGGCCTCAGCCTTCTGAATACTGGGATTACGGCATGTAATCCCACGTCTGGCTGAATTCTTCTCCTCTAAAGACAGTTTATTTTGTAAACATGTTTTGTAGGTTCCCTTTGGAATTATAAGAACATATTCAGTCTCTACCTTGGTTCTTAATGGAATTTGCATTGTATCCAGGATATAGCCTGGGTTTTGTAGAAAAATTTGCTTGAGAATTAATACAGTGGATTGTCACCTTTCTAGAAGTTTTTCAGTAGTCTCAGGAAAATATTAAAAAATACTAAACTGAACCCTCCCGTTGCTTCAACACTGGGTTGAGCCGGGCATGGTGGTGCACGCCTATAATCCCAGCATTCAGGAGGCTGAGGCAAGAGGATCCTTCCAAGTTCGAGGCTAGCCTGGCCTACAAAGTGAGCTCAAGACCAACCTCAACTGCACAGTGAAACCTGGTCTCAAAAAAAGAGACCCAAAAAAAAAAAAAAACCACTGGTTGAGTCCCATTACTATAGCCCCTCTTCCTCCCATTAGTTTGTCTTAGGATCGAAGTGGGGATAGGGAAGTATTTTCAGTCACTTTTCAACAAGGGTGGGAATGTGTCAGTCTGTATATGCTCCCTTGATGTGGTACTCACACTCCTTGAGTGGCTGTGCTAACATTAGTTCTGAAACTAAGGAGGAATGGTCCCAGTGTGGCATGTCAGAGATTATACAGACCTCTTTGAGTTTTGCTGCTTATTGCCAAAGCTCTTGGTCAGTTTTTGGCCCTGTTTTGATGGCATAGAAAGGTGGTCTAATCCTTTTTTTTTTTTTTTCCTTGCCCTTTTCCTTCTCCTTCATCCAGTGGGCCAGTTCTACTTCTTAATCCGGAAGAGGATCCACCTGAGACCTGAGGACGCCTTATTCTTCTTTGTCAACAACACTATCCCTCCCACTAGCGCTACCATGGGCCAACTGTATGAGGTAATGGTCCTGTCACAGTGCCCAGGAGGGTGGCATCCTCCTGCTTTTGTTCTGTGTATGTGGATGACATAGCTGGAAGTGGGGCAGGAGGTGTTTTTTTATCAGGATCCTCTTACACGTGGTGGTATAAGGCTGTGGGAGATTAGATACCTCTTGTCCTGGTAGAGATTGGGCACTCTACTAGATTTAATCCTTTTGAAATCTCCTCTCAGTCTTGCCTGACTGTAGTGCTTTATTGCTGGATCGCCTTTATTCAAGCAGTAGGAAGTGCTCCCTGATAGCAAAAAGTTGCAAAGTAGCTTTTACTGTTCCTATTGCTGTTGTCAGTAATGTGTAGTTTGTGGCCGAATTGTCTATTTGAATCCCAGTTCATTATATTCCTACTCAGCAGCAGATTGAGAAAACCCACATGAACAAGCTAGCTGCTCCTCATGCTGAGGGTAACAGCCTTGACTAAAGCTGTGTCTTCATAGTTCCTATGTAAACTCAGAAAATTTGGCTTAGGCTTTTCTTCTTAGGAAGAAAATGAAAATCTTGAAGCAGATACCCCATTATCTGACCACAGTGAATCAGAGAAAATGAAATTTAAGGTCAAGTATTTAAATCGATGCAAGTATCATCTAACACTAGAACTGCATTATTCCTTAAAGGATTTTTTCATATAGTTGATGCCTTTTTATTGTCTCCCAGGGGAAATGACTTAAACATCTAGTAGTGCCTAACCTAACCTTATTCCATAGCATGCATTCTTTTTAGTGTATATTCTGGTATGCATGTCTTACAGTATCTGTGTTGCTAGAATGAGCTAAGAGTAAGGACTGTCCCTATCATCTTTGTATCCCTGATCCCTATGTGTATTGTGTTCGCAGTGGAGTTTTTCTGTGAAGTCACAGCGCAGTTCTAGCCTCTTCTGCCTATTCTTTTTTCATACTCTTTTATTTTTATCACTGCTGGGGATCAAACTCAGAGCCTTGACCATCCTCTGCGGATAAGTGCTCTACCACTGGGCTACATGCCAGCCCTGTTCTTTTTAATGGGGGTGAATAATAACTTCCATACGCGTTTTACAAGGTCGTGTGAGGCTTGGAATCCTGGAGATAATGGTTGCGAATATTTCCTGAACTGTCATCATGTCTCTCCTTCTAGGACAACCACGAGGAAGACTATTTTCTGTACGTGGCCTACAGTGACGAGAGTGTCTATGGGAAGTGAGTGGTGGAAGCCCAGCAGATGGGAGCACTTGGACTTGGGGGTAGGGGAGGGGTGCGAGTGGGACTCGAGGGAAGAGAGAGAGGGCTCCCACCATGGAGAAGACAGAAGGTGAAGACATTGGAAACCTTACACTGCACACACTGTCGTCATACTTTCACATGCTCAGTTGATGTTTTTTTTGCTGCTTCCTCCGGCCCAGGGAGAAAGCATGTCAGGACAGAGCTGCTGGATGGACTTTGACAGAGAGTGGAGATGACCTAAGTTCATGGCGTTGCCAAGAATTACGTTTTTTTGTGATTTCACAGTAGGTCAGAAGGTGGGCAAGTTAAAGCCAGAGATGAGTGTAATCCAGCAGCACCTCTCATCTCTTTGGGCAGAGATTTGATTTTTGACATTTGCACAAGACAAGTAGGAAAGGGAACAGGAATTCCTTAGGAGTTGTGGTAGCGGACCATACCTGGGGACCAAAAGACACCCACAGTAGTTGAAGTATTGCAGACTTTGCTCTCTCCAATTTCTCCACTTCCTGCATCACCTGCTAGTCTCTCATACGTGAGTGTCACAGCCCTACTTCCCGAGGTGGAGTAGACGCCCACACAGACATTCAGAAGGAGCACACTTTGGAAAGCTGCGGTCCTCCAAAGGTGATTGTGATTCCTATTAGTTTTGATAGCATTAAACTGGAACTGACCGTTGAGCTTCTGTCTTAACCTGCTCGCTCTCTGGTGCCCCTCCTCCCACACCTACTCCGTAATTTTCTGCACCCTGGGCACTTTCAGTTGCAGGCTAAAGCCAGTCCTTTCGTGTTGCCCTGAGCAGTTTCCATGAACAGGAACAGAGGTGTCTTTCAGTGTGGAAAGGGCAAGTAAGGGAGATGATCTGCACTTCCCACACATCGTGTCCTCGCTCCCTCACTGCTGTCCCTAGTCTCACACGCACAGGAGCGCAGAGTGACGGCCAGCTGCTTCCCTCCTCTGGTTTTCATCCACTGCAGCTGCTCATTAGAAGTGTTTGGAGGGATGACTTTTAGTCATTCACAGGGGATTAATTGGTTTCTTTTCATTTAAGGGTCGAGGGTGGGGGTGGGAAGCAGGAATTGCACTCAGATGTGACATTTCATCTCCGCTAATGAAAAGGATCCTTCCTGTTGGGGGATATCTGTGTGTCTGTTCTGTCAGCTTCAGGTTCTTGTATAATGAATTCAGTCTTGTCAGGCCAAGGAAATAAAATATTTGCTTACTGTAAAAATCTACCCTGAGTTCAGAACTGTTGCCTTTCTTTGGTATGAGCTTGGACTCCTGAACAGAAAGCTTCGTGTGGGCGTGGCTGTTGGCAGCGAATGCTCCCGTATGTTCAGGGCGTGCGTGTTTACACAGCTCTTCCCTGACCAGGAATAGCTGTCCGAGGGTGAGAGTCACAGTTGGCAGTGTGCCTGGTGCACTTCTGATGTGTGGCTACTTTTCTCTGCGGATAAGTTGCTGTGGCATTGCTTTATGTATTCGCAAAGCTGAAGCTGGAAGACTGCTTCTATCACATTCGAGGGATGGGGTAGAGATGTGCTAATCACAGATGGAGATGTCGAGGCCTTGTCCCAGATTCAGCTGACTCAGAAACAACGTGGGCGTCTGATTTTTAATGAGCTCATATAATTCCTGTACTGAGGTTTGCTCTCCCAGCTTTCCTGCAAGTCCAACCATCCCACCTTCTCCACAACAGCTTTTCCTGTGTGAGACCACTGTCTCCCAAAGCAGTAAATAACACACCTCCCGCTCAGCGCAAGAGTATGTCCTGACCCTCCGAGAGCCTTACTCAGTCAGAACCAGTGTGTGGGTGGGAAGCAGGGAACAGAATGACAAGGGAAGTAAAGTCATAGGAGATCTGTGGTAGAACTCCACCCACAACCCAAACATAGCCAGTGTATTCATTGGGAAGTTACGTCAGGACTGAGAGGAAAGGAAGAAGCCCAAGCACAGTGAGCGCCATGTAATTTTCTAGGAAACAGGAAGCTCTGCAGGAATTTCAAACAATATTGGAGACCTGTCCGTATAAAAACAGCAGGGTGCTGTTCTCCAGTAGAGGTGACAGGAAGCTAATATTTCAGTTAAGATAGAAACACATGGAATGAATAGACAACCTGCTTCCTAGGAGTAAGACTGGATTAATGTTATAAAGACAACTGGGCATGGTGGTACATGTCTGTCATGCCAGCTCTGGGGAGGCTGAGGCGGGACGATTGCAGAGTTCAAGGCTAGCCTGTACTGCCTAGACCTTGCCTCAAAAAACCAAAACAAAGAAATACACAGAAGAGCAGATCTTTGCCCTCCTTGCAAATCTGCAGCAGTCCCTGTGCCTCAGCCTATAGGCTGTGGTGGAAGCAGAAGCAGTTTGCATTTAGAGGCTGTCTTCGAGGAAACCTTTGCTTATTTTAGTTCTATCTCTGGATAGTCCAAGAGGGAAGACGTTGTCCTTGGATAGGATATTACATGCCATTTTAGACCAGCCCACTGATTTTTACAGATGCATAGACTTCGAGTCACTTAGCTAAGTTCAGAAGCAAAACCAGGCCAGGGACTTCTGAGGTCTGCAATCTGGTTTTTCTAGAAGTCATTGTATCTCTAGTGCCACACCTGGGGATCCTGCTCTCCTATCTTTCAAAGCTTCTTAGTACCCTTAGGCCACAGTGAGGGTTCTCAGGACTAAACAGTTTAGGAAGTGTCCTATTAAGCTGAGGCTTCATGTCCTACATTAGAATGACTTCCAGTGCTCCTTTCTGGGGATCTAGTTAGTTCATTCTTTCCCTTAGAGGCCAGTATGACATAAAACAGATGAGTAAGTCCTCTGCCTTTTCCATATACTGTGGTAGAAAGACCTCAGATGTAGGTTAAACATCTACATTTGCAATAAGTAGTTTTGACTTTATTGTCCTGATTGTTTTTTGGGTGGGGGCGGGGACTCGAGCTCAGGACCTTGCGCTTGCCAGGCAGGTGCTGTGTTGCTGAGCTATATCCCTGGCCCTCTGATTGATTTATTGGTTCTGTATTTCATGGTCACAAGTACCTTTGTGGACAAAACAACATCACACAGTCACTCTCCTGGTACTTAGTATAAAAGTTGAAGCTGGTCTGCTCTGTCTAGAAACATGTGCACTGTCCAGAGTGAGTATAGCCCGGTAAGAACTTCAACCCATGTGACTGCAGACTCGGAAAAGAATTGCACTTGTCAGTGGCAGATTTCTTTATTCTATTCCCCCCATTGCTTAATTGTGTTCTTAATGCAAAGCATTGTGCACCTCTTTATAAAAAGGTTATAGACTGTTGTGCAGTCAGAGGTTAAGATTTCAAAAATGTAAAACATGATAAGTAATGTACAATGGCAGCTACATAAAAGACTGCACTGCCTGGTGAGCTGACAGCAGACGCCAATTGCGAATATTTCCCCAGGCTCACGTGTTACAGTGTCCGGGGCACTGCAGTAGCCCTTTGGAAATTACTTCCCATTGCCTTGGTGATACTGCATTGCTTGTTAAGCTTACAATCCTGTGTTGTGTTTGTGCCATTAAACACAGATGTATTATTTTGAAGCTATGCGTGGAAGAGAGATGCATAAACGCCTTTAGACACATCCTCAAGTCTGCTTATAATAAACTCATGTTCTGGAAAATAAAGTAGTTGGTAATTGGCCTCATCTGTCTTTTACTCTGCATTTTTTTGTTTCCCCTGCTAAAGCTCAAACCTGGGGCTTCACATATGGTAGGCAAGCACTTTAAACAAAACATTTATAGTTGAAATTTCTTTTGGTTATTTTTCCTTTGACAGATATGAACATACCCCATGCATTCACTTTTCTTCTCTGTAGCTGCGTGAGACCACCTCACATTTTTAGAATCCAGTCAGTTTTTCCATTAACTGAGTCCTGGTTGTCTCTGTAACCAAGTATTTCTTTCCTAACTCATGCCTGTTCAGCTGCCCACCCTATGCCTTTGTCTCCCTGGATGTTATTGCAGTGCAGGGTCTTTAGCCATTGCATGGTACCCTGAGGTGACAAGGATACAAAGCTTGTTTTCTTCAGTTATTTTAACATATGACCCCGAAGCCCCCAACATCACAGTCCTTGCCACAATAGTTTTGAACTGATGATGTCAGCTTAATATTTTTCTTAGGTCATATTATTTTCCCTTTTTTCTTTTATTCTTAAAAGTTATGGGCACTTTGGTACTTTATAAACACACATGACCCGATTATTTTCCACGGGTGAAGTAGCCGGAAGTGATCACACAGAAGCAGTCATAGGACACATTTCACCATACTCTTGGCAGGTGTGCCTAGTTTTCAACGGTGACAAATAAAAGATTGAAGTCATTCTTGTGTACACTCAACAGTGTGGGACCATCTGTTCTGGCGGTTCTATTTTAAACACAGCAGTGTATTTAAGATTCTTATCGTTTATGTTTCAAAATACTTAGTTCCTACAACTTTCATATGAGTCTGAATTCTTTGAGAGTTAAAACACTTTGTCTAGTAAGCTCAAAGTTGCCTCACACCGTTCAGTACAAGTGATGATTGTTTATTGCTTGAGGTAAGCAGTGTGCACATGATATTCAGAGACAAAATAACAAGTCTTATTTTAAGTGCTCCCACTGGCTAATTCCCTGCCCTCCTCTCTCAGTTCAGGTGTCATCTGGAGGAGCCCACCCCAGCAGCCTGTGTATATTGCCGCACCCCACCCACTTCCAGCTCACCCAGTCTTATCGTGCTCTTCTTTGTAGGTTTTGCTTAGCACTGATGACATATAATTTTCTTGTTTATTGTCTTTTCAGGTAGGAAGAGCCACGAAGGTGGAAACTTAGTTTACACAAATTGCTCAGAACAGTGTCTGGCATATGGTTAGTGCCCCCCAAAATATTGAAATTATAGTTTCTGATAAGACGGAGCGTTAGGTAATTCAACTGAGAAGTAAATTACCCAGAAAGAACAAGCTACAAACTGGCCGTTCAAGGAACTTTGGGAACCTATTGTAGCTTTCTGGAAAGAAAGCAGGAAACACGGCTCAAGTCCCAGACCTGCTACTTGACTCGCTCTGTGAATGGGCCAATTTATCACCCGTACAAATGAAATTCTCAGTTCTTTTCCTATGTAACAGATAATATAATCTCATCTTATATTAGTTTGTTGGGGATATTAAGTAAATCTTTTGCAAACCAATAAACATTTTTAATTGTTAAGAATAAATTTCAAAAAAAAAAATTTCACTTAAAAATGCCAGTAACATGGGCTATCTGCCAAGAATCTTTTTCCAGGTTGTTTTCCTTTTTTAATTCTTTTTCAATTCATTGGAAGTAGCAGATGTAGCATATGGCATGAGTCAGGGAAAATTAAGCAGAATATGTTGACCTGGATGTCTTCGAAGTCAGCTCTTAGGCTTGACGTAGCATAGCAGAGAGTCTTTCTGTTACACTCCTATTTATAACTGATTCTCTTGATGTTGGTGGCTGTCATCGTCAAAGGTGGTACTGTGGTCTCCTTTCTGAGTGAACGTTCTCCTGGGATGGAACTCATTTGTAAGCTGGGGACTTACTATACTGTCCTCGTTTCCATTTGAAAGCTCATAGCTTGGCCTTTACTGTCCACATTCCTGTGAGCATCCTGGCCTTTTGAGCTTATACTCATCAAGCCCCATTTCCAACATTCTGGGACTTCTCTAGCCTCCTCTGAGGTTCTCTTTTTTTTTTTTTTTTAATTTATTTTAAGACTAAAAGAAGAAAAATATATTAACAAACAGACATCCATTTACAAAATAGCATAAGAACAATGCATGCAATACATAGTTACAGACAAAGTGGTAGGAAATTAACAATGGTTGTTGTATTACATATTGATATCTTCAAAGTGGTTTCTCAGGATCCTCTGAAGTTCTGAACCACATCATCAGGTATAGTCACAGCAGAGCAGTGACTCTATTTCTTGGTAGCAATTTTCTGTGGCAGTCATTTTGTCACTGTGGTAGAATGCCTGAGACAAATCATCTTAGATGAAGAAAGGTATATTTTGGCTCATGTTTTGTTTGTTTGTTTGTTTTTTCCGGTACCAGGAATCGAACTCATGACCTTGCGCTTGCTGGGCAGGCGCTGTGCCGCTGAGCTAAATCCCCAGCCCCTGGCTCATAGTTTTAGAAGTTGTAATTTATGGTCCTGTGGTCACAGGGCTTTGGGCCTGAGGCAGCACATTACATTGTGGTGGATGCACAAGGCAAAGG